AAAAACGCGTTTTTGAAACTGCAAAAATTCTTTTTCTTATATTTTTGGGTGGCATTTGTGGATTCAGGTTTGGAAAAGCCTTGGTCTCAACCGACTTTGGAGGCAACCGTATTCGGGTATCATACGGGGCACGGAAGGTCCCACTCCCACCCAGTCACGGAGGGGCGAGGGGGGGTCCGACTGCATCTCATCTCCGTTCCGCCGCCTTCCCACGACCCCCTCCCCATCACAGTAATAACGAAGGGAGACGGCGATGTCTTTTCGGGCCCCCTAAGCGAAGTGGAGCGAGGGAGGGAGCAGAGAGCACACGGAGATCGAGGCTTCTGAGGCTACCGACTCTCTTGCCCTCGACCCCTTACCCCATTACTGGTGTCTCAACCCCTTTCCTCCCCCTCTTCCCCCAGGAGCATTGACGGCGCATCCCAGCCCCTCCTTTCCTCCCTCCTTCCCCCTTCGCTTCCGGGGATCCGAGCCAGCGCCCCCACCATCAGCAGCAGGGGGAGCCCAGCAGAGCCCATGGATGCTGCCCCACAAGCGCCCCAAAAGAGAGAGGAGAAAGACGCGGATGCTCCCAGCCTCAGAGGAGGAATCGGGGGGGGGGGAGATCTGGACTTGGGGGGGGACGTTTTCCTCGAACTGCCCAGAAGAGCAGAGGGACCAATGAGAATCCTCCCTTCTGCAGCGTCATCCGCCTTCGGGCAGAGTCTCTCCTGACTTCACCCGCAAGAGAAGATACTTCGGCACATTTCATTTCATTTCATTTATTATATTTATATGCCGCCCTTTTCCCCCGAAGGGGACTCAGGGCGGCTGACAAATCAAATCTGGGAGGGGGGGGTACAGACAAAAAATAAAAAAAACAAACATGACAATACATAATTTAAAACACACAACAGTCATACCATACCATTCGAGACGGGGGCACAGAGAGAGAAGCAGAGAAAGAGGGAGGGGAATCCCTTCAGCCTTGCCCCCCCCCGGCAATTCAAGGGGGGGTTGATGCCAGCCCTGAAAGGGATTATAGGGTTCCATTTGCCCTCCCCCCCTGATTCGGCGTGGAGTGGGTCTGCGGGCGATGACTGAAGGGGAAGCGCAGCAGCTCCACAACCAGCGAGGACTTGGGGGTAACAGTAACAGCGTGTAACAGTAACAGAGTTGGAAGGGACCTTGGAGATCATCTAGTCCAACTCCCTGCTCATGCAGGAGATCTGTACTAGGGATTCGTCTCTGAGCCGGTGGCTGGGGAGTCCATGGGCGTCTTTACACACATGCACCGCACACACGCACATTTCCTCGGTGGGAGTGTCCCTTCCCTAACCATGTGGTTCACTGCCCTTCCCACCCTTCCCGGAAGCTTCTCCCTTTTGCTCCCTTCCTGGCAAAGGGGCTGCCGGAGGGCCGGTTTTACCCAGCACTGTGGGGTTTTCTGACCCACCGCAAATAGCCGGTCAGTTTTTGGTTCAACAATCGCTGTTGTTGATCTCAACGTGGGGGTGGGGGGAAAAGGGGGGGCTGGAATCCCTGGCTGAGAATCGTGAAGAGAGCAAAAAAAGTGGAGGGTCCCTTCTAGGGCTGCCATGAACACCTCCCACTGCTTGAGTTTGAGGCCCCA